ACTGCAGCCTGAGAGAGAATGCAAAGGCTTTTTTTAAAATGAAGTGCTCTTTGCTGTGTAGGGCTGTCTCCTCACAGGTTGACCTAAGCCCACGCCTGTACTGTGAAGTCTGGGTGAGACCGCCCCTCCCCCGTGAGCCTCTCAGGAGCCACCCCAAAGGGCTAGATGCCCCCTAGTCTTCCTGCTGCCTGCCATATCCCTTCTCCACACCCAGTCACAGCCTCCCACTTCTTTGTTCTGGGGCTCCCCACCCTGGCCTGGTCCTCCTTTTTCTGCCTGTGGGGCCCACCCATGAGCAGAAAACAGCCAGAGGGTGCCACGGTCACAGCACCCAATGAAGCCAGAACCCTCCCAGCAGAGAGTGCCCTTTCAAAGGTGCCACTGAACTGTATCCTTGGAGGCAACCCCTGGCCCCGAGCGACTGGGCATGTGGTCCAGAACTGCAGTGCCCGGCCTCAGCCCTGGCTGAGGGCGCTGGACACCCAGGAGCCACCTGCACCTCTGTGCCAGCGAAGCGCCGGAGAACCTGTTCTCCTCAGGTGCGGAGAGACCACTGTGTCCCCCAAGGCCACGGCCAGGCTTGGCCGCCCTTCTCTTGGACGGTGCAGAGGCCACAGTATTGCAACCAGCAGGGTTCCAGTTCTCTAGCAAAGTCACGCGGTGATCTGGACGGAAATCACACAGATGACGTGGCGGGTTTGCTCCCCTCCCACACGGACGGGTGTTCACACCAGCAGCACCAGTTTTGACCACGTGGAGCTGCTGGCGGAGGGCGAGCATGGTGGCTGTTGCCCGCTGGGTGTTTTGCTGGATTAATGTAGACTGCTTTGTTCACAGGGCTCCTTGTCGTCCCCAGGCCAGGCCAGTTCTCCAGGTGGAACTATAGTGTAGCCACCCCACTGCTGCGCACAGCCTCAGGACTCGGACTTGAGGGAGTGACGAGGAGGAGCCCCACGCTGGGCCTGGGCCACGCTCGGGCGGCGGACCTCAGGCGGTGGATGTCGGCGAGGGCACGTGGACAGTGACCGGCTCGCTCTGTGGCGCGTGTTCCCGCTGCTCACCCAAAGAAAGTGCTTCCATTTTCACATCAGTCTTTTGGGGCTGCAGTAAAAAATAAGAAATGGAGTTTTCTTGCTTTTTACTCTAAAATTCAACGTGATTGAGTCTCATACGTATACACACACACATATATATAATATACACATATATACATAGTGTAAAATAAAATGTTTCTCGGACAAGAAATCCCCTGAAATCCAACTGTTACAAATAGTGCTTTGCTTTGTTTTTGCACTGATTTTTTATACCTTAGGTGGTCAGAAGACAGCCTGGAATGCAGTCAGAGAGAAAGTTGTCGCTTTCTGACTTAGTGTAATTCAGGAAGGCAGGCTGCAATCACAGATTTTTAAAAATTGTTTGCACCTAAGAATAGTTGAATGCTGGTGGAAAGTGACTCTGCATCTGGGTGTAAAGGACTCATGGCCCTTGGAGGTGCAGAGGGAAGACGCCCTTTTTACCGGTTGACGTTTATTTTAATACTGTTGTTTCCAATGCAATCGACTGTGTTATATGTATAAATAATGTAATTCTGCCGTCGGGGAGGACAGTTACTGCACTAGTCATTTTCATCATTTACGAGTGATATTTCTAATTCACACACAAAAATTAAAACTATCTTGAATATACCACTTGTTTTATCTTCTGTTACACGGGCTCCGTGTTTGCTGCAATTTTGGTGGAAGGAATCGGTCGCTATGGAATGGTTTTGTCTGTTTCACCCCACATTACTCGAAGCCCCTCGTCAGTCAGACGTGAGCTGGGCTGTTCGGGAACGTCACCCAGGCTTTGGCTCCTTGGCCTCCTCCTGCAGCTGCACGTGTGCACCAGGTTTCAGCGAGTCCTTTTTCCTCACAGCTTAGAGTCCTCCTTTTGTCACTGAAAGCCTGCGACCACTCATGACCCAGTTTCTGTGGTGAGTATGAGCGTGGGACGTGAAATAGCGAATGAAGCTGTTTTCCTGAGATTGTTCTTACGTGGTTGAAACCAGCTCATGAGCATCTGTGAGCTTAGGGCCCCCCCCACCTGCCCAACAAGTTACTAGCATCACAACAGAATGTGCAGCTACCACAGACAAGAATGTTCCTTGGTTTATTTTATTTTAGAGATGAGGTTTCACCATATTGGTCAGGCTGATCTCGAACTCCTGACCTCAGGCGATCCACCTGCCTCGGCCTCCCTAAGTGCTGGGATTACAGGCCTGAGCCACCGCGCCTGGCCTGTTTTATTGTTTTTGAGGCTAGTCAAGTGAAGCAGCAGGAGTGGAGAAGGAACAGAGAACTCTGTAACTGGCTGTGATCAATCAGTTGTAAACCCCACTGCCCTCGGACCAGCCTGCTTCTTGTTTTTTAAAAAATCATATACAACTGGACCCTTTGAAAGCTTTACTTTGTGAGACTTTAAACTATGAAGTGTCTGAAAACCTATTTCTCTGAGTGATCACATGAAATTGGGGGCATGTCTTTAATTTCAGGCTTTCAAGGGAGGTAATGCTACATTTTCACCATTTGTATGAATGCAGAAACAGAAAACGGCACCTCAGCTCAGCCCTGGGTTTAGTTTCCTTCAGAGGAGAGATGAGTTACAGCTTGAGCTCTCAGCCTGACCCGCTCGGAGGCTCCAGCAGGGCCTCTGGATCCTGGGGCCATGAACTACGGTGTGAGTCTGCTAAAAAGAGAAATACGAGATACTGAGACTTGCTGTTTTAAATCAAAGGAGCAGAATGTGTCAATTAGGCACGTGCAGAGTGACCTCTGTATCACAGTAAGATATCAGCACGTTTTAGGTACTTCTGTCTTCTTAAAGGGCTGACTGCTCGGTGCTGTCAGTTACACAGGAAGCCAAACCCAGGGAGTCCGAAGCATCTACAGTGAACGGGGGGGGGGGGGGGGGGGGGGGGGGGGGGGGGGGGGGGGGGGGGGGGGTGTATTTGGAAGTCAGAAGAAGCTACCTTTGAAAATAAGCCTAGAATTATTTTCCTTTCAAGACGGAGCCTCACCTGTCATCCAGGCTGGAATGTCGTGGTGCGATCATAGCTCACTGTAGCCTCAACCTCCTGGGCTCAAGCAATCCTTCCACCTCGGCCTCCCAAGTAGCTGGGATCACAGGTGAGTGCCAACACACCTGGATAATTCTTTGGCATTTTTTAGAGACAGGGTCTCCTTATATTGCCCAGGCTGGTCTTGAACTCCTGGGCTCAAGCGATCCTCCTGCTTCAGCCTCCCAAGGTGCTGAGATTACAGGTGTGAGCCACCACAGCCAGCCGGGTCTAGAATGCTTAATCCGGTCATCTTACTCTGTTTCCTGTCTGTCTGTGGGAAGTGGCAGGTAGAAATCTAATACCGGGACAATGATTATGTACAGATTTGAGCAGTCTGGTCAGATGACCCAGCATGTCTGAAGCTGTCGCTGGCCCCAAGATGGCATCACGTGCTGATTGGTTTTCGCTCTGCCTCAGCCCCATCTGTCACCCTTCACTGGGTTCTGGACGCACTTCGCACTGGGCCGCCGCTGTACTAATGCCGTCAGATACACCCCAGTTTACTGTAGATGCATCTGTGCCAGGAATAAATCTTCATTTTTATGATGCTGTTCCTAAGATTGGTCCGTAGCCAAGTGGTCCAAGATGGCTTCCAAAATCTGCCTCGTGACTCCCGCCACTGCCACCGTGGACCCCAGCGTCTGCACGCCACATTTGCTTTCTCACCAAGGCCTGCAGAGGAACTGTGAAGACTTTCCCTTCACACTTCATACACTTAAAGGGAATAACACGTTTCCCAAGTACACAAACAATCCTTGAACATGCCCGACCTTGAAGCCAGGCCTGGGGACAGGGTATGCCCCTTCCAGCCACAGTCCCCTGCCCAAAGGTCCCTTTTCTGACCTGAGCCCCGCTGCCCCCACCTCCACAGCCTTCTGTCCCCCAGCCCTCCCTGCTGCTGTGAGTCTGCCTCCCCTGTGACTCTGAAGCCCTCTGCAGAGGGAGAACAGCCATCCCCCGCCCCCCGACTCAGACACCTCCCCTACAGCGAGGGCAGCCCTGAACACTGCACGGGGGTCTCAAATGGGTATAAAAGGAGCTCAGGAAGAGGCCTGCATTGCACCCTGCTCTGAACATTACGGTGAGCCCCACTTCCCGGCTTGAATCTGCCCTTCTTGGGCTCCTTTGCTCCCATGTGGCCCAGAACGGGCAACTGTGCCCATGGACTCGCTGCCCCAAGCTCTCGCCCTCTCCTCTCCCTCCAGCCTGCCCTCCCCCCTGCAGTCCACTGTCATGTCAGGTGGCCTGGGGCTGGGCCGGGGCCACTGGAGAGCACCTGAAGGAAGGGTGCCTTGGTTTGTCTCAGCACGGGAACAAGACGTAAACGCTAACCTGGGAAATTTAGATTTTTCAAAAATATACGGTTAAGTTTGGGAAGATGAGAAAAAAGAAGGAAGACCAAATTACTAGGTTACTTTCCAAGATAAAAGGGCTTGCGAGGCCTTGTCCCCTGCCCAGCAGCCCGGCCAGCGCCACAGCTTCTTTGCAATGTCCCCATCCCAGCCCCGGGGGGAAACAGGTTTTAGTAGGACATAAGGTGCCCACCTTGCTGGCGCTCGGGAAACAGCTCAGAGCACCACTGGCAGGCCAGGGCAGGGCTCCCTACTCCCAGGAGACAGCTGGGCACCAGAAGCTAAAATGACAGCGTGGCCACCTCGAAGCCCATGCTCAGAAGAGATGCTTCAGGCCTGCCCTGTGCCCCTCACCGCCTTGCCAGGCTGGTCACTGACAAGCAAAGAGGGCTCCGAGGACATGCCTGTGTGTGTTCCTGAATGGTTTTTCAAATGAAAATTAAGCCACAGCAAAGTCTTCCCAACAAAATCACCTTCCCTCGTGTGCCCACAAAAGCTAAAATCAAGGAATGGCTGGGAAGGACACATGTTGGACTCAGAGAATATTAGAATGAAACAGTGTAAAGACAGCTCATTCTTTAATAAAAGTGAGGGGTCTCCAGTAGCATCCCTGGTAAGACGTGATGTGCTCCGTGATTGATGCACTGGGACAGGCAGAGCCCACCTCCCAACCACACCTCACTAGCACATCCAGACATTCCTGCTCATTTGTTCTGATTCGTATAAAAAGTTACAAAATATTCCCTGCCCCTAATTCTTAGTTACGAAAACGAAAGAAAACCCTAGAAAGCGGTGGTTTTACAAATATATTAGCTCAGAACATCCAGGGCAGCTGCGTGGGCCATGGGCATGGGGGGCCAGTGCAAAGCTGCCGCAGGCGCATCCCAAGCCCTCCGTGGCATCTTGTGAGCAGATGGCGCAGGTGGGCCCAGTGTGTTGGGAAGCCAAGACAACCCCACTGCTCAGTACCCTCCACCTTTCCGTGTTATGGTGGGCAGGCGACACTGCTGCAGGCCAGGCTTAAGGTCCTTCCGTGGATCTGTCTGTCAAAGAAAAATGACCAAAAATGGAGTGGCCGCCTGGGCTGGCGGGAGAGCAGCAGCGCAGAGAGGCCGTCCCTCTACCTTCTTGCTCGCGCCCATGAACTTCAAGGGTCTCAGCACCGGCACCTTCCCCCTTGTTCCAGCTCCAAGCGCAGACTGCAGTGCGGGGCTGGAGTAAGACGCGAGTTTGGTCAGCCCTGGAAGCTTCAGTTTGGGCAGCTCCATGGTGTGGGCTGGCCCTTCTCCCTTGGGATGATCGTCCTCTTGCTTTAGCAACTGTTTCTTGAAACAGAACAAAGGCCAGTGGGACATAAAATGCTTTGCCCTTTACGGAAATTAGGAAAAACGCAAGAGGCTCTTTTGTACTCTTGCCTAATACAATTTCTTCACCATGAGATGTGACTGGGACACATCTACCAGGTCCCAGACACCCCAAGGGAGCGGCTGCTCACTAGAGTCCTGGGCAGAGGCCAGCACCAACTGTGAGCTGAGGAGCCAGTGCGGGTCACAAAGCGTTCCCGGGCAGTGGCGCCCACCCCGCCTCCTGCTCCAGCTCCAGGGCCTCACACCCTGATGTGCCTGCCGCCTGATTTTGGGCAGCTTGTGAGCTAAGAACAGTTTCACTTTTTTTTTTTTTGAGACAGAGTGTTGCTCTGTAGCCCAAACTGGAGTGCAGTGGTGCAGTCTTGGCTCACTGTAGCCTCAGCTTCCTAGGCTCAGGTGATCCTCCTGCCTCAGCCTCCCAAGTAGCTGGGACTACAGGCGCGCACCACTATACCCAGCTAATTTTTAAAACATAGATGCAGTGGTGGGGGGAGTGGTCTCGCCTATGTTGCCCAGGCTGGTCTCAAACTCCTGGCCTCAAGTGATCCTCCCTTGGTCTCCCAAAGCACTTGGTTCACAGGTATGGGCCACTGTACCCAGCCAGTTTTTATATTTTTTAATAATTTTTAAAAAATGTTCATGGCATGTGAAAATGATGTGAAATGCGAATTTTGGCGGCCCCAGTCATGCTGCAGCGCAGCCCGTGTGGTTCATGTGTTGCCTCCAGCTGCTTTCACACTGCAGCAAAGTGGGGACCGTAACAAAAGCCCCAGGCCACAGGGCCTCAAATACCTTCCCTTAGAGAAAAGCATGAGACCTCGGATGAGACTGAGGGTGGGGACTTGGGTGAATGCCAGCTGGGAGTGACATCAGGGTTTGAAGCAGACCCTCTGTCCTGGAGGGAGCGGAGGCAGGGCGGGGACAGTAGTGAGGAGGCCATCTGTGGTGACTTGGGCAAGGTGAGGAGGAGGCAGGAGGCCAGAAGGCAGAGCCCCTGTGGATGAAGGAAGGGTGCACAGGGGGCCTGGCAGTTGACGCGGCTGCCTCCCTGGGGGGAAGGCCGTGGGAAGCTACAGGGAGAAAGCGTGTCTGGGGGAAACGTCAGGAGATGGGGTTTCGGCAAGTCTGTCTCCGGGACACTGAAGTGAAGCTGTAATCGGTGGCCGGCGGGACACAGGAGCCTTGCTTTCTGGAGAGCGGCCTGGCTGCAGCTCTGCATTACCAGGTCCTAAGCGGGCAGGGAGCACTCAGTAAAAGCTGGGAGGAGTGAGTGAGGCAGGGACGATGGGACAGATGAATGATGGAAAGGCACGTGATCACACTTGCCAGCCCAGCATTGGGAGACTGGGGCGACCCTGCCAGCAGATGCCACAGGGCTGCACTGGGCTAGGATGCCACACGGTAGGTGGGAAGGTGATGGCACTGCAGAAGGAAGCTGGCATCTCTCAACCCAAAATGTGCACCACCTCCACTGATGGGACGAAGTGCTCATCCAGGCCAGGCAGACAGTGTGGCCTGCCTAGGACATGGGGCCTGTCACTGGCTAGGTGGGGACTTGGGCCAGTGCTGTTATCTTCTTGAGGCCTCCCTCCAGGGCCACTGTGAGGGCACAGTGAGGCAATGTCTGCACAGTGCTTTGGCACAGAACCTGGCACCTGCATGTGGTCATCAGGCAGACACAAAGCCCGTGCAAGGGTCCCCCTCCAGCCTGCTCACACGGGATTTCCATCATCAGTCCTGAGCTACTGGGGCGGAAAGGGCTTAAGGAAACAAAAGGGGGTCCCCGCCGTTTTGACACATGGAGCCAACCATTCGCATGCTGTTCAGGCCTCAACTGACAGCATGGTCTGCCAAGGCCTCCACGGGCGGCATCCTCAGAGAGACACGGGCCACCCCGGGGTGTCCAGTCCCCGCCGAGCCAGGTGGTCTCCAGCTCCAATTTTGTTTAGTACCTGCTTTCTGCCGTCCTTTGAAATCTGCCAGCTGTTACTGAGTGGTTCCAGTGCCATAGCGTGCTCTGAAAAGCAGACTTTTCTGCGGCTGCCCAGGGCCCGCATCTCTGTTTTCCTACGAGGAAGGAGAAGAGAATGGGGCAGCTCCGCTGAGAACCAGAGCACAACCCGTTTAGCTTCTTTGTCTCCGGTTTGTCTACTGTGAGTCGTCACTAGCTCTTCTTTTCCACGTGAGCTGTAATCAGGCTTTTTTTTTCCTTTTCTGTCTCAGCCTGACAGTCTCTGGGCCAGGAGCAGAGCTGGCTCCATGAACCACAGGCACTGCCTACCCAGGGACTCGCAGTTTGGGATGAACTGTCACCTCCACGGTTGCACACACAGGAGTGTACGGAGGTATGGAATTAGAGGATCTCAGGGCAGACACGTCTTAGATTTGCATCCAGCAGGCACTCCAGTGCCAGGAAACATCCAAAATGCTCTAACATCTCAGAAGTGCTCACGCCGTTTATTTACAAGGGCTGCACGCCAGGCTCCTCTAGAAGGCTTACCACCTGTAGCCTCGGCACCAACCACAAGTGGCCAGCCAGCCCCGCTTTCCCCTGCCCTGGAGCTGCCAACAGCCTCATTTGGGGAGGATACAGCAGAACACAGCACGGTGGGGATCCCAAGGGGCCCTGATCACTCTTCAGGATAGACAGAGGGATTCCCAAGAACCAGGGACCCTCCAGAGGGCAGTGCCCCACCCAACCGTGTGCCCATGGGTCCCACCCGCCAGGTCCTGCCATCCTCCCCACAGAACCCAGGAGAGTGCCTACCTCTGTTCTTGGAAGTAAGGGTGCTGCAGGGCCTGGTGGGCGGTGATTCTCTCATCGGGATCATAGGCCACCATTGCATGCAGGAGGGAGAGGCATTGTGGGGACAAATTGGTTGTCAGTAGAGGTATTCCTGATCCCTTTTTAAAAGGAAAATCAAAATTCATAGCTCTCGACCTGTATTAAAAGCCCAATGATAATAAACGGTCATGCCGTCCCCGAGTGCACCGGCGGCTCACTGTCAGGACCGAGGGCCCTGCGCGGAAGGGAAGTTATGACTCGGGAGTCTATGCCTGTCCCAGCCACTGTATGTGCCCCACCAAGAGGGACCCCTGAGGTGGACGATGGGCTGTGTGTGGCAATGAGCTGTCCGTGGTTCATCGACCCTAACAAACACCAGTGGAGTGGGGTGCTGATGACGGGAGGCTGTGTGCGCATGGGGCCAGGCCTCTACGTGAAGCTAAAGCTGCCCTTCAAAGCCTTACAAAAGGGGATCTGTGATGCTGGAGATGTCAGAAACCCCTTTCCTGTAAAAGACAAATACCACCTTCCTGCATGAGAAGAATGAAATAAAGTTTAATGAAAAAAGAAGAGTCCAAAATTGTCACCACCTCCTCCCTCCCTGGGATCTGGAGGTGCTAAATGCTGCTGGCCCCCTCGGCCCACAGGCCCTTTCTGGGAAGTCCCAACTCCCCAGCCTCAGCTCCATCAGAATGACTCCTACAAGTCCGGGAACACCTCTTCCAGGGCCGTCCCGCCAGCAGCACCATGGAGAGCTGCAGAAAGCCCTTACCCGCTGCGCCCCTGCGGTCTATGCATTTCCACCCAAAGGCTTCTAAGTTCTGCTTAAACCATTCAGGGAACAGAGCCTGACTCCCTGCCCCTCAGAAAGCTGGTGACAAATCTCTCCGTGATGCTCAAAGAAGAGCTCACCTTTGAGAACCCCCGAGTAATGGGCTGTCTGAGCAGCCACTCACTGGCCGTGGAGGGCTCGCCCTGACGCAGGTCCTGCAGGGGAGTGAGTCCACATGTGCTCACAGCACAACACTTACTGTTTGAACTTGCTGAGGGTCTTCTGAGCAGGTGTGCCTATGACATCATGGATTTTTGAGATTTGGTCCAATTCATTTGCTCCAGGGAAGAGGGGCTGCAGACTGGAAGGGCATGACAGGAGGCACCGAGGTCATTACATGGCCTCTCCATTCTGCCTGCTTCCTCCCCCACCCCACCCGCCACCCACAGACAGGCTCACTCACACAAAACACGAGGAACTGAGCCTAGCTGCTCGTGCAGACCCTCACCGCAGGGATGCGCCCCTCTCCCTTGTGCTCGGCCTTTGTTTCCACTTTACCAACAGGTCCGACATGTTCTTTTTTTTTGGAGACAGAGTCTCACTGTGTCGCCCAGGCTGGAGTGCAGTAGTGTTATCTCGGCTCACTGCAACCTCGGCCTCCCGGGTTCAAGTGATTCCCCTGCCTCAGCCTCCTGAGTATCTGGGACTACAGGTGTGCACCACCATACCCAGATAATTTTTTTTTTTTTATTTTTAGTAGAGATGGGGTTTCACCATGTTGGTCAGGCTGGTCTTGAACTGCTGACCTTGTGATCCTCCCTCAGCATCCCAAAGTGCTGGGATTATAGGCGTGAGCCCCCGTGCCTGGCCCTGACTTGTGTTTTCTAAGAGGCAAAAGACAGCCACATTCCGACATCTGTCCAGCACACTGTCTGCAGTGAAATATGACGAATTCGTACTAACCATAATAAATAACCCCACAGTGAGCCTCCCATCAGCCAAGGGGAGTTTTGCGGACAAATTCGGGGTGAGGCAGGTCAGGTTTTGTCACCAAATGAGTCCCAAGAAACCTTTTGGTTTCCAGAGCTTTTATAGTTTTGGAATTGTGGGGAAAAGACTTTAAACCTGTATAAATAAATTTAATTCCTATTACATGTCACAAAGGTCTGAAAATACCCTCTGGTGGCAGGCCTAGCTTCTACTCCAGAAAACGGCAGGATCTCGTGACTAAAGGAGAGAGGAGGAAACAGCTCCACGTGGGAGATGAGCCTCAGCCCAGCTCGGCAGCTGGGGCGCTGGGTTGCCCTGTGTGCCAGTGGTCCTGACACCTGCCCCTCCAGATGAACTCACAGAACCTGGGCTCATGAGAAGGGATTCTCAGTTGACACTCTGGCCTCGGTGAAATCCAAAATGAAAAGTCATCAGCATGAACCGTCTGGATCAAAGGAGAGTGTGCCCTCAAGTGCACGTCTCTCCGCATTTCTGTAGTGGCTGAGCAGCTGGGACCAGACTTTGGCCCCTCAGATGCGCCGCCAGACCGTAACCTCATTGCCACCTGCTAGAGGCCGCCGGCAGCAAGCGGCGCAGACCTCCACCCCCGTGAGCCTCTTCAGCGCAACACCATTCACCTCTGAGTGGGACCCGCCCCCTGTCGCCTCATCCCTGGGCCACTGCTCCTTCCCAAAGGCTGAGGGGAGTGAGGGGTTTGGAGGCTGGAGCAGCGAGGGCTGGGATTAGGGCTTTCTAGAGTTCAACTGTGCCACATGGTACATCATCCTCACACCAGTGGCCAGGGCACCCTACCTGATAATGACTGCACCTCTCAGGGGAGGCCCGAGTCACCCCTCCCCATGGCAGCCCCAGGACGGGCAGTGGGCATGCTTCCCCTGCTCCAGGGCAGCAGCCCCATCAAGCCCCTCACAGCAAGCCGAAAGAGGCAGCTCCAACACCGCTGGAGGGTGTGTGAGGGAGAACTGAGGGTTGGTGCTCTACTCTGGGAAGGGCAGGCAAGGACAAATATTTGACAAAAGTAAAATGAAAGCCTGGTCTGCCTGCTGTTAAATTAAAAACAATTAAACAAAAACAAAACCTGGACTTCAGGGGAAGGAGCGCGAGCCTGGCTGCTCCACCCTCCCGCCGCAGGAGCCAGGCAGGAGCCAGGCAGGAGCCAGGCAGGAGCCAGGCGGGCGCTACCTGGCGATCTCGTAGAACACGCAGCCGGCGCTCCACAGGTCCATCTTGTATGTGTAGAAGCCGTCAGTGAGGAGACACTCCGGGGCCCGGTACCAGCGGGTGGAGATGTATTCCGTGTACGGCGGCTTGGAATAGACGCTCCGGCAGGAGCCAAAGTCCCCTAACTTCAGGACATCCTGCTGCAGCGGGAGAGAAGCAGGACAAGTAACGTGTCATGTAATACAAACCACTCCAAATGCTCAGGCGCCAGCGGGACAATTACTGGCATCTAAAGTAGTCTGTAAACACAGACCGCTGGCGTTACGAGCACCTGGAAGCGCCTCTGCAGATGGGGAAGTGATGTTTCTACAGTGGAACAGGTTTACAAATATTCTGCCTACTTCCAAATGCCTACAGGTTTTGAAAATGGTTAGGTCGTGGCGCTTCTACAAATGAATGACAGACACTAGCGGTCTGCCCCGTCACGCTGCCGGCCGGCCCGGCAAGGGCTCTTTAGCCACGAAGCCTCAGAGGAGCCTGCTGACAGCCAGCGACAGCGCTGGGAACAGCAAACTGTATGCCTTAACCACAGGGGGTTTAGTGGCTTTCGAGTGAGATGGACCTGAGCTCGAATCCTGCCTCTGCCACATCTACCTCCACGGGGTTTCGAATGGCCATCCGAATGGGGTTCATTTGGTCTGCAGTGTTTGAGGGGGACCTTCTGTTATTTTCTTCCAGGTGCACAGTCAGCTATGTTGCTGGCATTTATTAAATAAAACCTTTTTTTACAAGCTGAGAGGAAAAAAATACCGTAACAAACAAGCTGTCCAGCTACATGGGCTGAAACCTCCTCCGGGGGAAGTTTTCTATCAGCCTTTCTTCTGATGCCCGGCTTTCCTGTAAAGGCTCTTACCTTTATGAGGATATTCTCTGGTTTGACATCTCTGTGAAATATTCCATTTCTGCATTCAGCATAAAAGGAAAAATAAACTTAATCACACTTATTGATTCAAATGCTAACACGTTCTATTAATTTCAGGCTGTCGCATCTCTAGGAGTGTACCTGTGAATGTGGTCGAGGGACTTACACAACTGGTACATATAGTGCGTCACTTTCTTTTCTGATAATGGGTATCTTCTCCCTATACCATCAAGAAAACAGGCAAATATGGTTACTGATGGTACATATCCTCTTTTCTGAAATAAAAATAATCCATTTTTATTTAACAATGCGGGAAAATCTAACTTCCCCTGTGAAAAATCATCTGAAGTAGTCTTAGGAAATATGTGGTGTACCTAAAATATACTATTTAAAACTCCATATATTGGCCGGGCACGGTGGCTCACACCTATAATCCCAGCACTTTGGGAGGCTGAGGTGGGTGAATCACTTGAGGTCAGGAGTTCGACACCATCCTGGCCAACAGAGCAAAACCCCATCTCTACTAAAAATACAAAAATCAGACGGGCGTGGTGGCAGACACCTGTAATCCCAGCTACTCAGGAGGCTGAGGCTGGAGAATTGCTTGAACCCAGGAGGCGGATGTTGGAGTGAGCCGAGATCGCACCAGTGCACTCCAGCCTGGGCGACAGGAATGAAACTCTGTCTCAAAAAAAAAAAAAAAAAAAAAAATTCTGTATACTGGCATGCTCTCATTTAAAATTACACAGCACATGTGTTTTTAAGGGAAAATTACTTTTTTTTTCTTTTTGACAGTCTATAAAGGTTTCTTTTACATCCTCAACTAGGTGTTAGGAACACCATGTAATTTTTAAGACTGCTGTCAAATTTGGGGAAACTTCCGCTAAGTTTCTTTCATATCTGAGCTATAAAATTTCATATTTCAAGTTTTCTATGGAGTGAATGCTGTTTAATCTTTGAACTGACCATATTCAGAGTATTCCTAGAAGACACCCAAAATGAGACGGCCAGCAATAATGTAACTATTAGTACATGGAAGAGACGCAAAGCACAAAACCGTATCCCAGCCACCCCTAACGAGACTCCAGACATGTCCGAGGCGCTCCACGGTTACTCTCAAAGGGCAAGTATGACGTGGGAGAGGTCAAGATACAAGAGATGGCGGTCTTCACTTTGTGGCTAAAATATCTTATTTTTGCAAATTTAACCAAATATATAAAAATGGTGAAGGCAGCGGGCAACCCAGCCCTATCAGCTGCACGGTGACTCCGCCTGTGCTCCAGCACACATGGTTTTTCTGAGTTTTGACACAGGTAAAGCAGGTTTGGGAAACGGCCAATTAAAAAATGAAGAAACAATCGATAGACGTTATTGAAGAATGACAGAATTGTTAGTATTTTTTTATTTTTATTTTATTTTATTTTTTGAGACGGAGTTTTGCTCTCGTTACACAGGCTGGAGTGCAATGGCGCGATCTCGGCTCACCGCAACCTCCGCCTCCTGGGTTCAGGCAATTCTCCTGCCTCAGCCTCCCGAGTAGCTGAGATTACAGGCACGCGCCACCATGCCCAGCTAATTTTTTGTATTTTTAGTAGAGATGGTTTCACCATATTGACCAGGATGGTCTCGATCTCTTGACCTCATGATCCACCCGCCTCGGCCTCCCAAAGTGCTGGGATTACAGGGGTGAGCCACTGCGCCCAGCCCTATTTTTTTTCTTTGTAATGGGCACGGAGTAATTGTACCTATTCATGGGATCCAGAGTGTTGTTTTGATCCGTACATACAATGTGTAAGGATGAAATCAGCGCAATTAGCACGCGCATCACCTCCAACACTGGCCACAGCTCTGTAACAGTCAGAGCGCGTGTGCTATGGTTTCAGTGGGAATAGCACTGAGCGATGGTCGCCAGAGTAGCACGGTATGACAGCCTCAGCCAGCCTACGTTGATGATGAAAATGTTAGGAGTCACTCGTAAACCCAGTGTTCCGCTAGGCTTTCCTGTCTGTGGAGATTTCCACTTTAAAGGGGGCACATCACAGTTCAAGAAGCAGTTCATTCAGCTGCTTTCAGTTCCCAGTCCACAGGAGGGGCCATTTAGCGCATCTGGCGCAGTGCCTTGCGGCCACCCTATACTCAGCGCCTGGACTGGCTGTGCCTTGGTGCCCATGGTTTTCTACTATGTTTGAAGACTCTTCATACCACACACCCAGCATCACAGTTTACCCTTGTTCCAGAAGATGTCAACTTTACTTGATTTTAATTTTCAAAGTGTGTGTTTTAAGTCATTAAGTTTGAAATCTGCACAGCAACATGTTTACCTAACAATTTGGAAATCCACTTTCTCTCCATCAGCACATATGGCATTTGACCCTTTTGGTCCTAAGTTTGCAATTTATTTTGAAAATTAAAATTATTCTTTTTCTCTACTTAACTGTTTAAAATATATAAATAGAAAGTAATTTATTTTATTTATTTATTTATTTTTTTGAGATGGAGTTTTGCTCTTGTTACCCAGGCTGGACATGGCGCGATCTCTGCTCACCGCAACCTCCGCCTCCTGGGTTCAGGCAATTCTCCTGCCTCAGCCTCCTGAGTAGCTGGGATTACAGGCAAGCGCCACCATGCCCAGCTATTTTTTGTATTTTTAGTAGAGACAGGGTTTCACCATGTTGACCAGGATGGTCTCGATCTCTTGACCTCGTGTTCCACCCGCCTCGGCCTCCCAAAGTGCTGGGATTACAGGCGTGAGCCACTGCTCCCGGCCATAGAAAGTAATTTAAATTGTAAAATGTCTAGGTGCACTTAACTTTTCTTTTTCTTTTTTTTTTTTTTTTGGAGGATTTTCACTCTTATTGCCCTGGCTGGAGTGCAATAGTGTGATCTCAGCTCACTGTAACTTCTGCCTCCTGGGTTCAAGTGATTCTCCCTCCTCAGCCTCCCAAGTAGCTGGGATTACAGGCGCCCACTACAACGCCTGGCTAATTTTTGTATTTTTGGTAGAGACAGGGTTTCACCATGTTGGCCAGGCTGGTCTTGAACTTCTGACCTCATGATCTGCCTGCCTCAGTCTACCAAAGTGCTGGGATTACAGGCATGAGCCACCGTGCCTGGCTGCAATGAACTTTTTTCATGTAATACTATCATCTTTTTATTGTTTCACATAATTTGTCATTAATTTTACAGAATTAAAATAAAAAGAATCAAAAGTAAGACTTTTATCAGCTTTCCCAAGCTTGAGGAATTCTGGAATCTTGTTTGATTAATATCTATCTACAGGTGAAAAGAAGGCAACTTTCCCCTTCACACATGCAGCAGGAGGAGCTGCTGGAAGCTTGTCTCATCAGGTGCTCCTGGGTCTTGCCATCAAACCCAGTCTCACTGCACCCTGACTTAGCCTGGCACTCAAGACACCCTGCAACCAATTCCTCTCCACCACAAGGGTTCTTGGACTCCAGTGAGTGGGTTGCTAAGACACAGACTGCCCCTCCCCGTCTTTACCCACCACATTTCTGCTTCAGAAGGTCTGCAGTAGGGCCCCATAAGTGGCCTAACAAGAGCCCAGATGCAGCTACTAGTCCCGGGTCCTCGATTCGAGAGAACCATGGGCCACCACAGCCTTCTTGTTTATCGGATGCTGAGGTGAAGTCACGCGTGCACTCTTCTCTGGACGCTCCCAAAGCTCTCCTGTTTAGTACTTACCTTCCTGATGTTCCACCCTAGGAATGCCCTTCTCAGCCACGTCCACGTATTCAAATCTGACTCACATCATAAAACTGTCATTAGAGTCATCTGAACTTGGGAAACGTGGAATCTTTTAGGAAGAGTCTATCCAATCTTCATAATCACCTAGGAGTCTTTTAAAAAGCAGATTTCGGCCAGGTGTGGTGGCTCATGCCTGTAATCCCAGCATTTTGGGAGGCCAAGGCAGTTGGATCATGAGGTCAGGAGTTCAAGACCAGCATGGCCAAGATGGTGAAACCCCAACTCTACTAAAACTATAAAAATTAGCCAGGTGTGGTGGCAGGCACCTGTAATTCCAGCTACTCGGGAAGCTGAGGCAGGAGAATCGCCGGAACCCAGGCAGCAGAGGTTGCAGTGCGCCGAGATCACACCACTGCACTCCAGTCTGGGAAACAGTGAGACTCCATCTCAAAAAACAAACAAACAAAAAAAGCAAGGCCTGAACCTAGACCTAATGGAGCCACAAACGGGAATGGTGGCCAGGAATCTGTGCTTCTCGGATGCCTTCAGTCCCAGGTAAGAGTCCTCCTCAGGTGCCCGGCCTTCCTGGCCTTCTCAGGTCTCCTCCTGGAAACTCCCTATTCACAGCCTAGGGGTAAGGAGGGGTTACTGTTAGAGTGGGGTATCAGGGCAATAGTGTAGGCTCCGTGGTCTGAACAGCTGGAGACCACACCTTTGCCAAGGAAAGCACTGCCTACCCACTCTCCACAAGCTTCTCCAAAACTTTCCGGGTCTAAGACTATCTGGTTCCCATCAGATTTTTGTTTTCAAACAGTAAGTAAAATAGAGTGCAATTAACAAGCCACTCAGAAGTTTCTCATATGCCCCTTAGTGATGCCAGTGATCACAGCACTTCTCTCATCTGCTGTAGCTATCCTGACCAAGGTAATTTTTTACAAGTTATTTTTTACCAAATAGTCTCGTTAAGAAGACGCTAAGGGGCTGGGCGCGGTGGCTGTAATCCCAGCACTTTGGGAGGCCGAGGTGGGTGGATCACGAGGTCAAGAGATCGAGACCATCCTGGTCAACATGGTGAAACCCCGTCTCTACTAAAAATACAAAAAAATTAGCTGGGCATGGTGGCACGTGCCTGTAATCCCAGCTACTCAGGAGGCTGAGGCAGGAGAATTTCCTGAACCCAGGAGGCGGAGGTTGCGGTGAGCCGAGATCACGACATTGCACTGCAGCCTGGGTAACAAGAGCGAAACTCTGTCTCAAAAAAAAAAAAAAAAAAAGAAGACGCTAAGGAATGTCATATTTAATACTAGTAATTTAAAAAAAATAAGTGAACAGTGATAAACCATGGCATTCCCTGCACTCACCACTAACTAAAGGAATACAGCTGCCAATGTGGCCTGCATCCTGACGGCAACCCAGCACACACCCCTCCCAGTGAGGGTGGAGAGAACCACGAACTAGCCACTCACTAAGGCAAATAAATTTTGTGTGTGTGTGTCAAGGTCTCATTCTGTTGCCCAGGCTGAAGTGCAGTGGTGCAATCATGGCTCACTGTAGCCTCCTGAGCAGCTGGATCTACAGGTGTGTGCCACCACACCTGGCTAATTGAAAAAAAATTTTTTTTTGTACAGACAGGGTCTCACTATGTTGCCCAGGCTAGTCTCGAACTCCTGTGCTCAAGTAATCCTCCCGCCTTGGACTCCCAAAGAGTTAGGACTATACGCATGAGCCACTGCACCTGGCCCTATGAATTTAACTTGAATAGTTAAAAAAGAGAGCAGAATCAGATACAGCTGTGTAAGAGAGTAGCTGCCTCTATAGAAAGATTATGATGGATACTTAACCTCTTTTACAGTTTTCCTTCATAAATTCCAAGACAGGCTTTCCTACTGCAGACGGCATGAGCCCAGAGCCATAAGCGCATATATCCAAATACACAAACCAGGATCGCTGATGACATGGCCATTCTCTATCCACCCCAATTACTAACTCACACCAAAGAAGAATCCAGGGACAATCTTCCAAAGTGAGTGGTAGACAAAACGCCTTCACCGTCCCTTCCCCAGGCTCCCACGCCACTCTTGCCTTCGTGGCACACCCACAGACTGGCTTACTCAGGACCCATCCCAACACCCCCATCTAGCACGGCAGGCCGGAAAGTCCAAACGACGTTCTTCAGGCTGCCTCGCAGCTGGGGGTTCCAGATGTGACTTGGGCTCTGCCTAAATGGGACCACTTGGGAAAGACGCTTCAGGCCCAGGTATGGGGGCAGATGAGAGAGGGAAAGCATCCATTCTGAGGGCACAGATCACGCTGCCTCCTCACCCTGGCAGAGGCGGCCTTATTCCAGGCCTGGTCACTGCAGCAGCTTTATTCCGCAGAGCGCTGTCAGTGGCAGGGGCAGCAGCCTGATCATGGACAGCAGCTGTGAGAAGCGACTTCCAAGAGCCAAGCCCAGAGCCAGCTTCTGAAGAAGTCCTCCCAACGACTCTGGCAATCTATCTGTATCACAGTCATCCCTCTGCAGTTCATCAGAGAACAGGGGATGCTGTAGTTTCCAGCTGAAAGGGAGAACCGACACGCCCACTCCCAGCACATGTAGTCTTTAAATAGCAACTGGAGAATTCCTTCTAAAAAGGCACTACTTAAAGCACAGCCCATAAACTGATGCCAGGGGACTGCTTGTTACAGAATAACAGTTTAGAACCGTGTATAGCAACTTGACATGCTGCGCATCTAGGCATGTGTTCCCTTTTCTGGTCATTCATTTTTACTATACTTTATAAAAATTCTGGTCTGCAACGGATTAGAAATAAAACAACTGGTCTTCTGCGACAGTTATAGAAACACTGGTCTAAACACCAAATGAAAACGACCTCTCCCCTGCCTTAAAACCTGATAATGGCTTCCCATTGAACCTAGAATAACAAAAATTCCTACCCTAGCCCTACCAGCCTCATTGGTGGCTGCCTACTCCATTTCCCACAGCGCTCCTCCATGTCCTCCAGCCACATGGGTCTCTTCCCTCACAGTGGCCTCAGGGCCTTTGCACTGGCTGCCCTCTGCCTGAAGTACTCAATCCTCACCTCTCTAACACACTGACCTGTTTTAGTCGCTGACAGCCTTATCCCTGTCTGGAATTCTTGATCATGTTAACTGATATTCTTGATAATTTCTTCACTTGTTTCCTCTCTCTCCTCATCAAGTATGAGCTCCACATGGGTGGGAACTGTGTCTGTTGTGTTCCCTGTGTCCCTGCCTTTGGCATGTCACTGCAAATGAGACATCCTCTCCTGCGCCTGTCTAATTTCTACCACTCCTCCAGGGAAGCCTTACTTTCCTAGCCCACACCATCTCTGCCTCATCTGACACCTGTTCAACAGAGAAAATCACCCCAGCAGTTCCCTTTCTCTCGCATCACTTTCGTACAGTTTACGTGGACACTAGGCTATGTGCTCTTTCAGTATCAAAAACGTGCACCTGACAGGCTGCTTCTCCGTCTTCCCAGTCCTTGCCAGACTGTGCACAGTGCCATAAAGACAAGTACACAACTCAATAATGGCTGTGTGATCGTTCCCTTATTTCATTATTACCTCATTCTTTAGTCTTTAACGGTGCTCCCCAATATTCTAATAACCTAAGAGTGGCAATTTACATCATAAGAATGGTCATTCCGGTAGCAAAAGCCTTAGTGATGATTCAGTTTTCACTAAATCACTACCATCGTCCACAGCTGGTGCTCAGTGCCTTACATGAATAGAGGTACCTAATTACTGTTGATACGTGAGGCCGAGGCGAGTGGATCACCTGAGGTCTCGAGTTTGAGACCAGCCTGGCCAACACACAGCAACTTGCTGAAAATTGCCCCGTCTTGTTGAGTTATTCATTTATGTCTTTATTTTTTCTTGAGATAGAGTCTCGCTTCCATGTACAATCTGGAGTGCAGTGGCGCAATCTTGGCTCACTGCAACCCCTGCCTCCTAGGTTCAAGTGATTCTCCTGCCTCAGCCTCTCAAGTAGATGGGACTACAGGCACATGTCACCACGCCCAGCTTTTTCACATTTTTGGTACAGACATGGTTTCACTGATCCGCCAGGCTGGTCTTGAACCCTTGACCTCAAGCGATCCACCTGCCTCAGCCTCCCAAAGTGCTGGGATTGTAGGCACGAGCCACCACGCCCAGCCTTTATTTTTATTTTTTGAGACAGTCTCGCTCTGTTGCCCAGACTAGAGTCTAGTGGCACAATCTTGGCTCACTGCAATCTCCACCTCCTGGGTTCAAGCGATTCTCCTGCCTCAGCCTCCTGAGTAGCTGGCACTACAGGCACACACAACGCCCTGCTAATTTTTTATGTGTATTTTTAGTAAAGACAGGTTTTCACCATGTTGGTCAGGCTGGTCTTGAACTGACCTTAAGTGATCCACCTGCCTTGGCCTCCTAAAGTGCTAGGATTACAGGCATGAGCCACTGTGCTCGGCTTTATATACATCAACTTTTATGGATGTAGAAAAACCTGCTTACTGCTGGGTGTGGTGGCTCAGGCCTATAATCCTAGCACTTTGGGAGGCCACACGGTGAAACCCTGTCTCTACTAAAATACAAAAAAATGAGCTGGGCATAGAAGCATGCGCCTGTAGTCCCAGCTACTTGGGAGGCTGAGGCAGGAGAATTGCTAGAAACCAAGAGGCAGATGTTGCAGTGAGCCAGGGGTGCCACTGCACTCCAGCCTGGGCAACGGAGTGAGACTTGCCTACCTATGCTATTTATGTTGCTAGTGCTGTACTATCACACACATATTTTAAGTCACATATAAAACACATGAATATTGATATAATGCTTTTTTCCACTATCCAACTTCCTAAAAACAATTTTATTTGAACTCTTCATATTTATCTTCAACATCAGTGTTTTCTTCAGCACAAAAACAGTTTACTATCTACAAGTTTCCCACAGCACATCATCTTCAGTCTGGCCCAAAGTCTGAAATACGGCATCTAAATCATCTATGATGCTGTCACTAAAATTCGGTTCCAAGTCATAAACAGTCACTCATGTGACAGTAGGGCAGTTGTTTCTGTTTGTCTTCCAGGTATTATGCGATTTGTAGATCTAACACTTGCCGTGTTGCTTTCTTAGTGAAATATACAAGGTTCATTTGTCCTGACATCTAACACAACCATGAGGTCAGATCCCCAGGAACACTTTGCTTGATGTGGGCCAGCCAGCTCTCGCCTTTGCTCCTGTTCCCCTCAGGGACCTCCATACGTATCCCACACCAGCCCTGACTGAGGTCATCTCAGGCAAACATGCTCTCCTAAACAGTGCTTCATTGTTCAGAAGAAAGGAAATGAACGAGCACCCTGGAAAATGGCAGGAGCTTCCCTCACATGCAGGGGATGATTTTACAGGGAAAGCTCTGCCTTGGAGGCATGGAACAGAATGCTGAGCAACAGCAGATCCAGGGAGCAGAGAGGCCCCCCAAGCCAGCAGGCCTGCGCGCATGTGACCATGGCAGGGCTGGCTACCTGCTGCCTCCCGCCATCCTCGCCCAGACCTCATGCGCACCCAAAGGGCCTGGGGCTTCCTTTCTTGTCTGCAGCCGTGTTCTGAGTAGAAGGGCCATCAGGGAAGTGCCTCCCCGTGAGTGACGTGGCGCTGTACAGGGTATTATATATAACTATGGCACTATGAAGACTCATGATGTTGAGAACAGCTAAGCGTATATGAATTACAAGCCTTAAAAGAGCGCCTTAGATTAGCTTTCAAATTATTCTACGTACCTCGTATTAGCTCATAAATATTCATGTCCATAAGTTCACATATTAGTGCAAGAGAACCAGATTTTCTGTCACTGAAGAAGAAAGCAAGTTTTAAAAATAATTTTTCTTGCCTTAATCAGAAAATATAACTCAATATTTAATTCATTTGTAAACATTTCTAGCAAATGTAAGGCACTCCCACATGAAACACTACAGTGTACTTGCTAAAACAGTAAAGGCTTTGATTTTAAATCAGTATTTCAGGTACAATTAATAAAAATACGAGCAAAACCCAACTCTGAACAAAATTCTGAAAGTCGAGCCGGGCATGGTGGCACACGCCTGTAGTCCCAGCTACTCAGGAGGCTGAGGTGGGAGGATTGCTTGAGCCCAGGAATTCTGGGCTGTAGTGTGCTATGCCGATCGGGTGTCCACACTAAGTTCGGCATCAATATGGTGACTTCCCGGGAGCAGGGGACCACCAGGAGGCCTCAGGAGGGGTGAACCAGCTCAGGGCGGAAACGGAGCAGGTCAAAACTCCCCTACTGATCAGTAGTGGGATCGCGCCTGTGAATAGCCATTGCACTCCAGCCTGGGCAACATAGCGAGACCCTGTCTCTAAAAAAAATAAAATAAACAAAAAAAAAAAAGTAGAAAATAGATATATCTTCAAAATATACAATTAACTCTCAGCAGAAAGAAGAAAAAGATTAGGGAGTGGGCAAGCAAAACAATTAAAGAGGCCAGGCGCAGTGGTTCGGCCTGTAACCCCACTCTTTGGGAGGCTGAGGTGGTGGATCACTTCAGGTTAGGTATTTTGAGACCAGCCAGGCCAACAAAGTGAAACCCCATCTCTACGAAAAATACAAATATTGGCTGGGCATGGTGGCATGCCTGTAGTTACAGCTACTCGGGAGGCTGAGGCAGGAGAATTGCTTAAACCTGGGAGGTGGAGATTGCAATGAGCCAAGTTTGTGCCACTGTACTCCAGCCTGAGTGACAGTGTCTCGAGACCTTGTCACAAAAAAAAAAAAAAGAAAGAAAGAAAAAAAATTAATTCATGCTCCATGACTGCAAATTTAATTTTAATTTAGCTAAATTCCTTCCATGTAATTGAGATAAATCACAATGGGAGTAAAAACCAAAAACCAGTCAGGGGAAAAAGAGAAAAACGAGTCACATTATAAAGTGTGTGATATCCATGCTGACACAGAATGGGGCAGAGACTGCTGGCTGAGCCACCAACTTCTCCTGAGTTCAAGCAGGCCCTTAAAGGGCTCCCAGAGTCGTGAGCAGGAGCCTGTATCCCCAGACCTGCTCTCAGTGCCTCCAGTCTGGCTGGAAGGGGTCTCAGTTGTTAGGAGCCCCACGTGAGACTCTGGACAGAAGCACTTTGAAAAGGGTGTGGAAAGCGCGTGATGTGCATGCAGTGTTGAGACCACTGCATACAAACTGCAGTCTCCGGACCCGGCCCAAACTGACTTCTAAGAACGCTACAGGCCAGGAAGTCACACAGTTATAAAAAGACATTTCACTTTGAGTTTAAAACTGTTCCATCCTCTGATTAAAATTTAACTAGCAGTGCCTGGAGTTCCTTGGCCGATCTTACAGGCCAGCCTCCCTCAGAAGCACAGCGAAGCTTCGCCATCAAGGTGCCCCCTCTCAGAGTGGCGGTGCCCTTCTAGTCCACAGCGTCCCAAAATCCTGCAGCCTGACTCCCTGACTCAGCGGGGTCTGTAAGTGCAGCACAAAGCTGCCAGGAAGAAGGCTTCCCAGGCTCAGACAGGCACTGAGGGATAAGCTGTGCTCTGCCTTCTTGATTGATAAGTTTTATGGAAAGTATTCTATGATTAGAACAGAAGTGAAAAGTCCCCAGAAATGTTATCAATTATAGTAAGAAAGACTACAGGAGACCGTTCAGAAATGGCAACTGGCAAGGACAGAGTGAGAATGTACAATCCCTGAAATAACACAACAGTGCTTTCCCAGTAGGCCAAAATTCACACTCAAGTCCTCAGCAGCCTAACTGAGCTACAGGAAGACTACTGCATGACAGATGCTTTTATGATGTGGAGTCACCTAAATGAAACCATTTCCACATTAAGAATCAAATGCTGGCTGGGCGCGGTGGCTCCAGCCTGTAATCCCAGCACTTTGGGAGGCTGAGGTGGGCAGATCACCTGAGGTCAGGAGTTCGAGACCAACCTGGCTAACATGGTGAAACCCCATCTCTACTAAAAATACAAAAATTTGCCAGGTGTAATGGCTGGCACCTGTAATCCCAGCTACTCGGGAGGCTAAGGCAGGAGATTGCTTAAAACCAGGAGGTGGAGTTTGCAGTGAGCCAAGATTTCACCACTGCACTCCAGCCTGAGTGACAGAGAGAGTCTCAAAAAAAAAAAAAAAAGAGAGAATCAAATGCACATTTTCCCAAATTAAAATGTGATGAAGATGAAGTGAAAATGGTTACTCTCTGAGCTACAAACCAAAAATTCAAAATGTCTACCATGGTTTCCTTTCTTAACAAAGAGATTATTTTCATCAAATTTAGATAACTTTTCAAGCTCCAAATATACTTACAAAAGCACTTCATGCAACGTAAGAATGTTTGGGTGTGGATTCAGGCGCCTCAGTGCTTGGATCTCTCGTAGGCTGTTGACTTGATCGATACTATTGTGCAGGTAAAAATGGATAGCTCATTCACGATTTAGGTCAACTTCAAAATTAGTTACTTATTATCCAGGATCACAATTTTAAAACTCACAAGTATGTCAAGCAAGTTAATCAGGTGTTATTTCCCATTAGAAATTGAAGTTAAGCATACCTCATTGCTGCATTAAAAAAATCAAGGTTCTTATAGCTTAGAACATATGTTAAAATTTTTCCCATCTAAGATCCTGAAATAATACTAGGTAGCTTATTTTACATATTAACAAAAAGAATTAGACAATAAAAGGTATGATTAAATTTATTAACAAAATTAATAATAAAGATTTATTCTTCAGTTTATAGGTATACTATCTGAAAATGAGCATTTCGAAGTTCCAAGAGGAGACCCACCCCCTCCTTTTTTTTTTTTTTTTGAGACAGAGTCTCACTCTGTCATCCAGTCTGGAGTGCAGTGACACAATCATATCTCACTGGAGCCTCAACCTTCCAGGCTCAGGTGATCCTCCCACCTTAGCCTCCTCAGTAGCTGGGACCACAGGTCCATGCCAACTATACCCTGTCAAACTCCTGCATTCAAATGATCTGCCTGCCTCAGCCACCCAAAGTGCTAAGATTATAAGCATGAGCCAATGCGTCCAGCCTCCTTCTTATTTTTAATAACTTTTTTTTTCGATATCTTTCTCTTTTTTTGAAATGGAGTTTCCCTCTTGTTGCCCAGGCTGGAATGTAGTGGCACGATCTCAGCTCACTGCAACCTCCACCTCCCGGGTTCAAGTGATTCTCCTGTCTCGGTCTGCCAAGTAGCTGGAGTTAGTTGCAGGTGCACGCCACCACGCCTGGCTGATTTTTGTAATTTTAGTCAAGATGGGGTTTCGCCACGTTAGCCAGGCTGGTCTCAAACTCCTGACCTTAGGTAATCTACTCTCCTGTAATCCCAAAGTGCTGGGATTACAGATGTGAGCTACTGCACCCAGCCCTCTTTTCCATTTCACTCACCTGGTGACGAGCATTCTCTCGGCTTGTGTCTTATTGCAGGCTCTTCTTTATGAAGACTGCTCTGCCAATACAAATCATCCCAATACAGTGCAATCAGGCTCAAAGCCTGAGGCTGGCTGTCACTGCCCTCTAGACAGACCTCTTTTGAGAATGTCACTTACCACAGTGGGCCCATGGGGTCACACCCAGTTGAATAATTCAATTCACCAGAAATTTTCATCTCAGGGGCTCCAAAAGGAACTAACGTGGGACTATTTTTTCAACTGGCAAATTCTGTTCTATCAACTTTTCACATATAGTGGAAAGCTCAACATTTTGTGTTTGAAGAGTAGTTATACCCAGTAGTATTCGCGTAGTTTTAAATCAGTATGGCTGAGGCCAGGCGTGGTCACTCATGCCTATAATCCCGGCACTTTGGGAGGCCTAGGTGAGCGAATTGCCTGAGGCCAGGAGTTCCAGACCAGCCTGGTCAACATGGTGAAACTAAAATACAAAAAAAACCACTAAAAATACAAAAATTAGCCAAGGGCAGTGGCACGTGCCTGTAATCCCAGCTACTTGGAGGCTGAGGCAGGAGAACTGCTTGAATCCAGGAGGCGGAGGTTGCAGTGAACAGAGATTGTGCCATGGCACTCCAGCCTGGGTGAGAGTGAGACTCCATCCAAAATATAAATAAGTAAATAAATGAGGCTGAATATTTTAAGTCACTCTCATGTTAGCCAACAAATAGAAGCCTGACATTTAAGAAGAGCCTGGAAATAGAATAGCCTCCAGAGTCTAAGAATATTTCTGACTAGAAGTTATAGCCCCCATTTTCATTACTAGACTGTATTTCCTCCCTCACATGCAAGTTGTTATTCAAAATGTTAGCAACTCGCACCCCAGGTCCACAACCAAATCAGAAAAGACCCAGTCCACCATGCTGGAGCCAGGTCCTCGAGGTGGCCAGAACCAGGGAGTGCTGAACAGGGGGCCCAGGCGACACTCCGGACAGCAGCTATTTACCAATGAATACGAATCATTCGATATTCTACAATGCACAGAACAGAAAAAAAAAATTCCAGACCAAAATGCCAAGAGTGTTGATATAGAGAAATCCTGCTTCAGGTAGAAAGAACAAAAGCTAACAGGCTAGCAGCAGTTCTAAGTTTTGAACACCCTGTCTGAAAAACTTAGTTTTTACAACTAGGAAGCCGAACAGCCTTGTGATTTGGACCAATATCCACTCTTCTCATCTGTAACAGAAAAACCGGTCATCACACCCCCGAAACATATGTTGCTTATTACAGACAGGCCTCTTTCATGTCTCCACAGGCATTCTCTGAGAAATAAGGAACTAAGACAAACATCTAGAAAGGCACGTTTCCCTGGATGACTGCTACAAACAACAGTGCTTCATAACATTCAAATCAACTCTGTCCCCACTTTTAAAACCATGAAAAAAATCTAAAAAATACTGGAAGTAACCACTTTTCTTTGCCTTTGAGTTGCTCTGAATTTTGTGGTCAGGTAACATTCAGTTTGTTTATTGTTCTGTTGGAAACAAAATACCACAGAATTGAATATAAGAAGCATGTAGGCAGCCTTTGCTCCAAAAAAACCAAGAGGACATTTACCGTAATTGGAATTTTTCTACAAATGGAACAAATTATGATTATCAGGACTCAGACTTTTAAAAAAAATTTAAAAGATCAGCCAGGCACAGTGGCTCATGCCTGTAATCCCAGCACTTTGGGAAGCCGAGGTGGGTGGATCACAAGGTCAGATATTCAAGACCAGCCTGGCCAACACAGTGAAACCATCTCTATTAAAAATACAAAAAAATTAGCCAGGCGTGGTGGCGGGAGCCTGTAATCGCAGCTACTAGGGAGGCTGAGGCCAGAGGTCGCAGTGAGTCTAGATCATGCCACCGCATTCCAGCCTGGGTGACAGTGCATGACTCCGTCTCAAAAAAAAAAAAAAAAAAATTAAAGATCAATTATGAAATATCAACATTTCATATTATTGGATGAATTTTATGGAAAACAAATTCATCTAACAAGTACAATCTATATCAAGAAAGTCCTCAATTAAAGCAATGGCTATATTACTATTAGACAAAGTAGACTGCAAAATAAGGAAGATTACTACTCAGGATTTCATGATGATAAAAAAGGCTCTAAACATAAGGAAGCAATGACAACTGTAAATGTGTATGTGCTAAATAAAATTGTTTTTTTGTTTCGAGACGGAGTCTTGTTCTGTCATCCAGGCTAGAGTGCAGTGGCGTGATATCAGCAACCTCCATCTCCCAGGTGCAAGTGATTCTCCTGCCTCACCCTCCTCAGTAGCTGGGATTACAGGTGCCTACCTTCACTCCAGGCTATTTTTGTATTTTTAGTAGAGACAAGGTTTCATCATGTTGGTCAGGCTGGTCTCAAACTCCTAACCTCAGGTGATCCACCTCACCTTGGCCTCCCAAAGTGCTGGGATTATAGGCATGAGCCACGGCACCCAGACCTTTTTTTCTTTTTGAGATGGAGTCTTGCTCTGTTGCCCAGGCTGGAGTGCAGTGGAGCAATCTTGGTTCACTGTAATCTCCATCTCCCAAGTTCAAGTGATTCTCCTGCCTCAGCCTCCCAAGCAGCTGAGATTACAGGCACCTGCCACCACAACTAGCAAATTCTTGTATTTTTAGTAGAGACAGGGTTTCACCACATTGGCCAGGCTGGTCTCATACTCCTGACTTCAAGTGATCCACCAACCACAGCTTCCCAAAGTGCTGGGATTACAGGCATGAGCCACTGTGCCTGGCCTAAATAAGAGAATTTTAATATACATAAAGGACAAGTTGACAGAACTGAAGAAAAAGATGAAGATTTTAGCATTCTACTCCCGTAACTGAACAATCTTTCAAAAAAAATCAGTAAAGATACAGAAGATCCTAACAGCATTATTAACTACCTGTTCTAATTGACATTTATAGAACAGTACATTCAAAAACTGTATGTAAAATATTTTTTCAAGTATATATGGAACATTCATCCATAGAGATAATGTGTTGAAGCATAAGGTAAGTCTCGATACATTCCAAAAGACTGAAAACAGAACATGTTCTCTGATCACAATGGATTAAATCAGAAATCAGTAACAGTAAGCTATCCAGAAGAGTCTCAAAAATTTGGAAATTAAACAATAAAAAAGAAATCACATGGGAAATCAGAAAATATTTCAAACCAAATAAAGCACAACATAGAGAAATGTACGAGTTGGCCGGGCGCAGTGGCTCACGCCTGTAATCCCAGCACTTTGGGAGGCCGAGGCAGGTGGATCACGAGGTCAAGAGATCGAAACCATCCTGGTCAACATGGTGAAACCCCGTCTCTACTAAAGATACAAAAAATTAGCTGGTCATGGTGGCACGTGCCTGTAATCCCAGCTACTCGGGAGGCTGAGGCGGGAGAATTGCCTGAACCCAGGAGGTGGAGGTTGCGGTGAGCCGAGATCGGGCCATTGCACTCCAGCCTGGGTAACAAGAGCGAAACTCCATCTCAAAAAAAAAAGAAATGTACGAGTTGTACATTTACACATTATGTGTAAATACTAAATGAAGTATCTAGGCCGGGAACGGTGGCTCATGCCTGTAATCCCAGCACTTTGGGAGGCCAACGCGGGTGGATCACGAGGTCAAGAGATAGAGACCATCCTGGTCAACATGGTGAAACCCCATCTCTAGCTGGGCATCATGGCGCGTGCCTGTAATCCCAGCTACTCGCGAGGCTGAGGCAGGAGAATTGCCTGAACCCAGGAGGCAGAGGTTGCGGTGAGCCGAGATCGGGCCATTGCACTCTAGCCTGGGTAACAAGAGCAAAACTCCATCTCAAAAAAAAAAAAAAAAAAAAAGAAATGTACGAGTTGCAGCTAAAACAGGGTTTAGAAAGATATTTATGTGTAAATACTAAATGAAGAAAGGGTTAAAATCAAGTATCTAAATGTCCCCCTTGGCCGGGCACAGTCGCTCACGC